TCAATCAAAATACAATGAGATGGGTCGAGAATCTGCACAGCTTGGAGAGCACGATCGGCTCAATATCACATTGCTCAGTATGGTTAGGACTTGAGTCAACTCTATGACACCATTAAAGAAAGCGCTTATGAGTTTCACAATGATTGTGAGCTAAATTGAAAACTCGCAAAGCTCAAGTCAGAAATAAGTATTTCCTTTGTGCAGCTGAAACACATTGATTCAACATCTCGCATGGAATTAATAATCCTTAAATTTTTAATGACTAGGTGTTGACCTCCGGATCAAACCCAAAAGAGCAAAAGAGAGAAGAATCCAAAAATCCAGCATACATGCCTTGAATCCATCGAATCCTCAAAATCATGCCGAGATCGCGTCGATTCGGCGCCGTTCGCGTCATTTCTCCGTAAACCCGGTGCAAATCCTGCATCGTCGCCTCGATCGTTACCCCACTCGCCTCTATAAAACGTGACCGAAGGCTCTCCGACTCCACGACCAGTCCTGATACTTCTCTTCTTTGCTCCCTTCACGATCTCCCTCCTCCGATCCCCTCTCATCTCCTTCCACACTCGGCTCCACTCCTCCAGATCCCGTCTCCTCCCTCCGCCTCTGTCCGATCCACTGTGATCGCGATTAGTTAAATTAATTATAATCATTTTAATTTATTATAATGATTATAATTAATTACAACTAATTTTAATTAAAGTTAATTTTAATTCATTATAATTAATACTCTTTTTTTAATTACAATTAACTATTATTAATTAATTATAGTTAATTAATATTGATTAGTTATAATTAATGAAAATTAATTATATTAGCTAATTATTATTATAATTAATAATTTTAGTTAATTATAATTAATTAAAAAAATGATACCTCTCCCTCGGGCCGACACCGCCAACCCCGCGAAGGTACGGACTTTCTAAACTCAGATTCTCGCTTCCGTTGTGTGCGGCGGACCGGAAAACCGCCTATACACGCCTTTATTGCGCGTGGTGGGATGGGACCCCTGTCCGACGCCTACGACGAGGCGGGAATCACCTAAACTCTACTTCGACATCCGTGGCGCACCGAAAAACCGCCTATACACGCCTTTATTGCGCGTGGTGGGAAGGGACCCCGGTGCGGCACCTACGGCGAAGCGGGGTCACTTATAAGTACCCCGAGTGGGGAGAAAGCAAATTGTGTCATTTAAACAGGTATCGTCAAAGACCCCATACACGCCTTTATTGCGCGTGGTGGGAGGAACAAAAAATCACGGCCGCGGTGTTCTCGTCAGAAGACACCTACCATGCACGCCTTTATTGCGCGTGGTGGGAAAGACCCAGTTTTCTCGTAGTTTTCCCCTAAATGGGGGAGACGTCGGGAGGTTGCCGAAATTTCGGGTGAAATGTTGCTGCACTCGTACCTGTTTGAACTCAAAAAAGGACATGCACTGGGACTAGAACTCAGATGAACTTGAACAGTGGACTTGGGAACCTAAACTCAAAAATGATTTCTAAAGGCCAAATTCAAATAAAATAAAATCAAAATTGGAACCCAAATCCAAAGCAATTTGAACTTATAATTGGACTTGCAAAGACTTCAGAAGATCCTAAACGAGCGCTTGAACATGTACTTTGAACTCGAACCGGATTGAAAAACAAGGGACTAATAAACTTGCACAGCTAATTCGGACTCAAGTGAACTCCAACTTGAACAAACATACAAGACTCAAACATGAATTGAACCTTGAACTCGGGTCCGATGGAATGCGTATTGAACCTTGAACTCGGGTCCGATGGAATGCGTAGGACGGTACAACAACAACATCAAGCCTTTATCCCACTACGTGGGGTCGGCTACATGAATCCTTTTTCTCCATTGTGTTCTATTAAAAGTCAAATTCTCATTTAAACCTAATAAAGAAAGGTCATTCCTAATATTTTCTAACCAAGTCTTTTTAGGTCTACCCCTACCTTTCTTAACATAAGTCAAATCTAATACCTCTACTCTCCTAACCGGGTCATCGAAAGGCCGTCGTTTTATGTGACCAAACCATCTAAGGCGACTCTCTCTAATTTTATCTTCTACTGGAGCTACTCCAACCTTTTCACGTATATGCTCATTTCGTATCCTATCTCTAAGGGTAAAGCCACTCATCCACCTGAGCATTCTCATCTCTGCCACACTTAACTTAGTATTATGCGGAATGCGTAGGACGGTGCTTTGGATAAATGAACAAATCAAAGTCCAAATGCACGGTCGTCCAAGCTAACAACAAATTGCAAGTGGGAGATGAAGTCCCGATGCACATGAAAGATGTATGAATTCCTACAACAGTCTCTACAATGCCTGTTGATTGAGATGGCAATACGGAGACCAATAAAGAAAGATCTGCACCCCTACAAGCAAATGCAATCATCAAACCACCTGAGATTGGTGACAGGTGGGCATGATGTAGGCAACGATGGGTCTCCTACGAACAGTTCCAGGAGCTCCTAGTAGATACAACAATCCCCACCAAGTCAATGCACTATAAAAACGAACAGTTGTAAGGTGTACGACTTCTACTCATATCTAACAACCAAAGATCTGCCCCTACAGCAGATGCAATCGTCCAACCACCGAGATTGGTGAAAGGGTGGATTCGATGCAGAAATAATGGATCTTCTACAAAATACTTCCAGGAGGTCGTCGTAGAAGACATGTATCCCATGCAAATAAAGAGGCCAATGAATGAATGAAGGTCATTCATTAAAATCCCAAATAGAAGTGAAATGTCGGTTCACTCACAAGCAACAATGCGCGGGTCAATAAGTGAATTCAGGTTCGAAACCGATCCTTCTATACGGGTCAATAGAAGTCGACAAGGTTCGAACCATTAAGCAAATATAAAGTTGGGGCGACCGGTATATTTGCTTTAAAACATTCATATTAAGCCTTCAAGGCCTACAACAATATGAATTCACTAATAAAGGCACGAAGCTTACGAAACCCTATCCTCAGTCAATAGCTCGACTGAGTTGACAAGGTTCAAGCTACAAATAGAAATGACCTCAAACACCCCGTTGATGGCCGTGTTGAACGAAGATATCAACCGGAGGGGTTCACAAATATTTTTCAAATGCCATTCCAAATACTCAAAATTCCACCAAATTCCCACAAAAATCCAAAACTCTCCAAAAATCCAAAAATCCAAAAATCCAAAATTCCAAAATATTTAAAATATGAAATCCAACCATCCACACTTAAAGCAAATTCCATCCACCCTCCGCAACAGTTTGC